GTGTGTGTGTGTGTGTGTGTGTGTGTGTGTGTGTGTGTGTGTGTGTGTGTGTGTGTTGTGGATGCCTTTCAGCACTTCAGTACTACTGCTGGGCTTTCCAGAGCCTTTGCTTTGCCTTCATCTTTGGGGTGGCAGGGGCTTTCTTCTTTGCTTTTGGTGCTAGCTTCTTGAAAAGGTATATTTTTATTTTAAAATTTACTTCAAAAAAATTTTTTTTAACTTGGGAGAGGTATTCAGACCAAGTGATTGTGGTGAGTGCAGTAAAACAATACATGATATTTTGGCTTTGGTTTAATTCCTTTTTAATTGAATTGCAGATTTTTCCTGGGATCTAAAATAATAGCTTTTGTCACAACTCTTACATATGCCTATCTTAAGTTCTTATGAATTTGGATAACATTTTCAATTTAGCATAAAATAATTAGAATTTGTAATTTGAAGTATACTCCACCTTTGTTTTAACTAAAAGTTGATTTTATGTTAAACCTCCAAATTCAATTAGTTTTATGTCTTAAACAGATGAGATCTAAACTTCGTTGATTAGAATATATTGGTTGCAATTATTTTCATGTTTGAAGAGTGTCATTTCTGCTTAGTTTCCTTAATAAACCATGTTTTAACTATTTTATGCTTTTGCTCCTTCATAGCAGAAGGGAAAGAGGGATAGAATTTCTTAAAAATTACTGATTATATGTGACTGAATTGTTTGGATTCGAGTTAATTTTTACATTTTCAATGAGAAGCTGTTTAAGTCTCACATGAAAAATGGTTGTCTGGTTAATTGAATAAAGTTTTCCAGATAGGTCGTTATTCTAAATGGCAGAATTTTATAAATTTTTAAAAAAGGTTATTTGAATAGGCAATACTTTCATATTTAAATAAAATGTTATCATGGTAATGAAAGTTAGTATGGTATTAACTCTGGTTTTGCCTTCACTGTGAAAAATAGTTTAACTGATCTTTTTTTTTTCCTTGACAGAGCAAATTCGATTAAAGAATATCAGAAAAGTATATGGAAGATGTATGTGGTATCGTTTACGGTTATTAAAACCCCAGCCAAATATTATTCCTACAGTAAAGTAAGTAATGCATTTCGCTTAAAAAATATACATGTGCTTATTCTTTGCTAGATAGCATACGAAATACGGGAATAATGATTAATAAGACATCTTGTCTGTCAGCAAATTGTAGCCTGTAGTAGGGGTAAGATTTCATAAATTTAAGAGCTGTCTGAACACAGTGTTTTAGAAGTTCAGAGGCGGGAGAGTGTTCTTCTGACTTGGGGGAGGAGTAGAGAGATGTCAAATCTTGGAGGAAGACTTGTGCACCATGTGCCAAGATTTGAATTTTATCTTTAAAGACTATGGGAGAATCTTTAAAAGATTTCAAAAGGTGATATGGTCGTGTTTGCATTTCATGGTGATAACTGAAGTTCATTGAGCACATACTGTCTGCCAGATGCTGTGTTAAGGCTTTATATGTTATCTCATTTCATTCTATATTAACTTCAAGGTTGATGTTTTTGCTTTTTCGTGTTTGCATTTCATGGTGATAACTGAAGTTCATTGAGCACATACTGTCTGCCAGATGCTGTGTTAGGGCTTTATATGTTATCTCATTTCATTCTATATTAACTTCAAGGTTGATGTTTTTGCTTTTTCTCAGTTGAAACTGAGGCTGCAAAAGGTGATGTAACTTGACCAAGGTCATGCAGCTAGAAGTGGTAGAGCAGGGACATAATCACCCTTTATTTTGGCAGGCCCATCTGCTTAAACAGGCCATTTGCATGTTTAATTAGAACAGGGCTATTTGATTCAGTGAATCAATGGGGCATGCTGGTTAAGAGTCTAGGCTTTGGACCTTAACCTGAAGTCATCAATTTAGAGGTTATAGATGAAACTGACAGGTGGTGAAAGAGTTGCCTTATTGGAGGAATGTATCTTGTAAATTACCTACATCTGTCTATCCAGTAGATAGGAAGAGATGACCTAACAGAAGAAAGAATAGATCCACTTATTTTTTTATTCTTAGTTTAAATGATGAGAGTTTTCAGCATACCTGTGTAACTTCAGGGTGTTTAAATAGTTTTTCTTTGTAAGGTTTGACTTTGCCTAGTTTAGTTTCTTTGTAGGGAGAAGGTATTCTTAGCTTTGTTGTTAAGAGTTCTTTAGTGATGTGAAACTAAAGATACAGTTAGTCTTGACAAGAGTAGTTTTCTATTCACTGTTTATGCTTTGCTGTCAGTTCTCATTTTAAATTAAACTTTCATGAAGCAAAGGGCAAATATTTTTGGCCTCCCAGTCTCTTTTTTCTGGTTTTGTTCAACACTTTGTGGGTATCTGAATCTCAGTTTTCAAGGAAAAAAAAATTCTGTGAAGTTATTTTCATTGATTAATAAACTGATTCACTTAAAGTACAGATTAAGGGATGTTTAAGTAAAGAAGAAGTAAGTAGGTACTGATAACAATTTAGGTAAGATCAGAAACCAGTAAAACTTTTTTTGCTACTTAATCCTGAAGCATTCTTTCAAAATTAAGCAGTGGTGTGTAATGCTTCTCTACCAACAGCATCTCTGAAACTAAGGTAAGTAATTTCTGGAAGTTGCTTTCAAAATGACATATGCTTATAGAAAAAATTCGAGCAACCAAATATGCTTTTAAAAAATGGGGCACAGAGTATGAAGTAATCTGTTGTATTTCCACTATTGCTTTGGCTCTCAGGAAACTAGAACATGATTTTACTGGTTGTGGTAGTTTTCATGGGCCTGGGGGTTCAGTCATGAACTTCTCTCCTCCCTCATTTCTTGGCTCAGAGAGCTAGATGCTATATATAAAGCATAGAGTCTAGCGTATCCTAGGTGTTTTATTCCCTTTCCCTTGTTTGGTTTTAAATCTTACTTTTGTGGTTTTCAGTTTCATTTTTAGTTCTGTGAGCTTTATTAACCTTTTGGGGGAATTGGCAGAACAAAATACGGAATTATTGATTTGTATGGAAAATAAAGTATATTTTCAAGTGTTCTTTAGCATATTTAGGGTATTAGCATACTTTGGGTTTGAGTTAAAAGTTTACTGTTTTAAATTATCTTCATTATTCATTCAGCAAATATTGTTGCCTGCTGTGTGTCATACGTTATACTAGGTTTTGGGTATAATGTGACTGACCAAATAGATGAGGTTCAATAATTTACAGTTTTATTGGCAAGTAAACAGGTAATGATAATATAGTAAGTAAGGGCTGTGAGAAGGCTCCTAACTCTGGCCTATGACTGAGAAGGCTTCCCTGAGTAAGTGAGGTCTGAGCTGAGACCTGAGAGAGTTCTCTCTCCTCTTTTGGCATAGATGGGCATATAGATGGTATGGGAAAAAATAATACAAAAAAAAATAGATGGTATGGAAAGCAGCTTTTATGCTCTCAATGTATAGAGTATTATTTTGGCCAAATAGAAAGAAATTTGTGTCTCAGTTCCAACTGAGTTTAAGCTACTTTGGGGTTAGTAAAAACTGAATGAGATCCTGTCTATGTGTTCATGAAACTTATAGAGGGTCAGAGGGAGGAAAGTCATGTTTTGTGCTTGTTTGTGGCTGTAACCCCCATCTTCCATTGATCATCTTGGCCAAGGATTATGGATTGCTTCTTGGAGGATGGGTCATTTGAGTTGTTTCGAAGGACAAATAGAGTTTGGATAGGCAGAGATGGGAAATGGGAATTCTAGGTAGAAAGATCTATGAGAGCAAAAGCATGATGGTGGGAAAAGCTAAGGGAGCACTGGGAGAAGGGGATTTGTTTTCTTTGAAAAATCAGGGTGATAAAGGTAAGCAGGTAGGTTGGAACTGGATCCTAGAGGCTTGTTCCAAAGGAACACACTTAAACCAGGTTCCTACCAAAGGAGCTCAGCCATATGGAAAGTTTTCTTTCGATTTTTAAAAGCAGGTCACTCTAATATTGTTTGATTTGTCCTCCTATGATTCACTTTATGTTTTTGTCTAACAATTCCTGCTCAGTGTGGCTAATTGTCATATGGAGGGCATAAAAAAATAAAAACCATTTAATTTCATCACCTAAAGATAGCCATTATTAACATGATTATATAATCTATATTATACCTTTTTATATACAAAAATTGAATTATATTATACATATAGCATTGAAAGCTATTTATCTTTTTAAAATTTAACAGTGGAGAAGGTACTGTTAAATAGTCATCCACACCAAATATTATTTTTAATGGCTAGAAAGTATTTTGCTGTGTGGATGTACTGTTAATTTATTTGTCCAGTAATCTGTTGATAGATATTTAAGATTTTTGTTTTGTTTTTTGCTTATTTACATCTGTAACCACCCTTTTATACTTTATATACTTAATTCTCATTTATTTTCTTCTAAATTTCTTGAAATGGAATGTATTGATAGATAAAAGTGTATGTGCCTCTTTAAGTCTTTTAATACATTATTGCCAGATCTTCCTTTAGAGTGTGTGGGGTATGTGCCTCTTTAAGGCTTTTAATACCTTATTGCCAGATCTTCCTTTAGAGTGTGTAGTGTATAAGTGTTCCTTTTTCTTTATCCTCTCCAATGCTGATAAGATCAATCTTTTAAATATTTTTACTGAACAGAACATGTTGGAGTGAGAAGAAATTATTTTTTTTCCTTCCAATTGTATGTTCTTTTAAATATTTTTTAACCTGTTATGCACATCTTCCTATATCTGTATTGGCTACAATATGTTCCATTGTGTGGCTGTAACATGGTTTATTTAATTAGTTCCCTATAAATGGTTTTTTTAATTAGTCACCTAAAATGACCGTTTAGATTGTTTCTACAGTTTTACTACTGTAAAGAAGAGTGTTTATTTATGTTCACACAATTGACCAATTATTTTTCTTAGTTTATCTTATTAAAAGTGTAATTGTTAGGTCAACAATAATTCTTTTTTACATTGAATGGTTAACTAAATACTTAATACTTACATATTTTGATCTAATTTAATGGGTCCAGTAAGTTAATAAGTTGGATTTACTTCTGTATTTAAAATTTTGCAAGTAGTAACTGAGAAAATCTATTCCATGTGAGGCACTGTACTAGATTCTAGAGAATTCAAAGGTGCAAAAGACACTGTCTTTACTGTAAAAGGAATTTACAATCTAGTGATTATAGAATTTGAGTCAATAACATAGTGATGCTTTAGATTGTTTTATGCCTTGACTTATTTATTTATTTACAGATGTATTTATTTATACTTTGCTTGTCTTTTTTTCCTGAACAGGAAAATAGTTCTGCTTGCAGGATGGGCATTGTTTTTATTCCTTGCTTACAAAGTTTCCAAAACAGACCGAGAATATCAAGAATACAATCCTTATGAAGTGTTAAATTTGGATCCTGTAAGTAGTATTTTTATATAATGCACATTAGCTTAATCATCCCATGAAAATATTGTAGGTCTCCATCCTATAAGAAATTGTGCCATGCCTAAAGAAATCTGTTAAATTTTTTATTAAAATAAGATACCAAATCCATTGTCATTCTATGTTTTTAAAGCTACAGCTGTTGATTGCTGTATTATTTAGAATTGGTTTGTAATTGCTAAAATGTAAGACTATATAAGATGAGATGAGCAGTTAGGTTAGCATATTTTTAAAAGATGTCTGTAAGATTGTTAATAAAAGTTAAAAATAAAACTGGGTTTATTCATGTTAGTTGAACGATACAAATCTCATGATCTTGTGTTGTGTCTCGGGTGGGGGTCTTACAGATAACTGTTGTCATTGTCATATAAACTCAGGTTAATCTTGGGTGTGCCGCTTAGGTGATCTCTTGATTGAATTTGATTGTTGGGTCCCAATAGAAAATTAGTCTTTTGGGTAAATCAGTTGAATGTTAGCCTTTTTTTTTTTTCCTTGCCTTTTTTTATCTAGCCTTTTTTTTTTTTTTTTTAAATTTAAAAAGAGAAAATGAGGTCTGAAAATTTGTGACTTATTTGGAGTCCAGGGGCTTCTTAGTAGCCAAGGTGAATCTAACACCCTATTCATTTTTCCCTCCAAACCATTTTTGCTCCTAGTCTCTGCTCAGCAGATGGCTTCATCTAGAGATTCATATAATACAAAATAAGGAGTGTGTTTATCTTTCTATGCCATTTGATTTTTCTTATTGTGATGATTATGGTCATTAAGAGAGATCTATTCATTTTTCCCTCCAAACCATTTTTGCTCCTAGTCTCTGCTCAGCAGATGGCTTCATCTAGAGATTCATATAATACAAAATAAGGAGCGTGTTTATCTTTCTATGCCATTTGATTTTTCTTATTGTGATGATTATGGTCATTAAGAGAGATTTTCTAAGGGAAATGAAAAACAGTATGAGAAAATTATTAATAGAAATTGAGACTAATTAGGAAATGGTTAATTGTCACCTCTCCCCCAGGGTGACAGAGATGCAAAGGATTACTCAAAGCCCATTTCTTCTGAGGATTGAGAAGCCCCAAATGGGTTAGTTTTCCAGGAACCCTCAAGAGAGAGGCATTCCTCCTTGGAAAAATAACACTGGACTGGGGTATTCTCCCAGTATTTATTTTCCAGGGCAGAAAGGTACAGAAAAGGAACATAGGTGGTTACAAAAAGAGTAGTAAGATAATTGTCATGGCAACGCTCATTAATTTGTAAAAAGTTAAATTGATCCACCAACAAAAGTTTGTTCTTAGCAAACACTTTCTTTTCCTACAGCAATTTCCTCAGTATATTTACATAACAATCAAGTAACTTTCTCAACATAGCAATCAGTAGGTTAACCTGTACTAAGGACATCTGCCCTTTGAGTCAGCAATTTTGCTGTGTTACAATTCTTTATCTAAAACAGAGACTTTAGCCTGGGGAAAGTTTTCTGTCTTTTGCAAACTTAACATTTCTATGTGTAATTTTAAAAAGTTAGGTCCTGTGAAATACATTTGTTTTATTAATGTTAGAACTTTCCACAGTTAATGGTATGTATACTTTACATTAAAATATTGACAAGCACTGAAACTATGTATGTCTCAGATTATTCCTTAGAAAGGAAGTTAACCTTATATTTGAGTGTCTCTTTGAGCCAGACTTAATTTACTGTGATTATTTTTTGATATTTAAATGTCAGTATACTTTTAAAGTGTGGTACTATGTGGTTTTACTTTCAAATCATCAGTGCCTAGTGTACTGCACAGCACATTGTAGGTATTCAATAAAATAAATGTATTGGACAAAATAAGTGTATTTTTATTTAAAAATATATGGTATGAAATTTATGAGACAAAATATATAGGACGAAAACATTTGTTTTCTCTTTTTCAAAATATTGAGTAATTCATGTTTGTATTAGTCCATTTTTGTGCTTATCACAAAATATACTGAACTGGGTGATTTATAAAGAAAATGAAGTTTACTGCTTACAGTTTCTGAGGCTAGGAAGTACAAAGACATCTGGTGGTGGCAACAGTGACCCAGGGGTCTCACACTGCAAGATGGTGGAAGCAGAGAGAGCGAGCAGATAGACTCTCCTCTTCTTTTAAAGCCCTCAGAACCATGCCCCTGACCACCATTTTTAATCCAGTCACTACTGCAGGGTCCTACAACCCAATCATCTCTTCAAGGCTCCACCTTTCAATTACCATAATAGGATTTCCCACCCTCTTAACAGTCACAGTGAGGGCCAGTTTCTAATACATAAAACTTGGGGGACACACTTGAAGCTTCAGGGAGTTTTGGGGGGACATAATTCAGTCCGCTACAATGTTTTAAGTTCAAAATTGGATTGATTATTTCTTTAACAGAATTGTGCCTATTTTTACTAAACAAAAGCTTTTTCTTTTAGGGGGCAACAGTAGCAGAAATTAAGAAACAGTATCGTTTGCTGTCACTTAAATATCATCCAGATAAAGGAGGTGATGAAGTTATGTTCATGAGGATAGCAAAAGCTTATGCAGCGTAAGTATCATAGGATTCATTACACATTTTTAAGAGTGGTAAAGATAGTTTTCTATTTTAATAAAATAGTAAGTAAAATAGTTGTCATACCCTTTTATTAAATGCTGACCTAAGGGCCGGCCCAGTGGTGCACTGGAGAGTGCGCTGCTTGGGAGCGTGGCGGCACTCCCGCCGAGGGTTCGGATCCCATGTGGAGACCGGTTCCCGCTCACTGGCTGAGCGCGGTGCAGGAGCAACACTGAGGGTTGCGATCCCGTTGCCGCTCCCCGGTACGGGCACGACTCCGAGGGTTGCGATCCCGTTACCGGTCAGTAAAAAAGACAAAAAGGAAAAAAAACATGCTGACCTAATATGTTGAGTCTATTATTTATGGAACTACTCAGCAGCTGTAAAATGGTACTTTATTTATTTTATTTTTTTTTTAGGTTTTAACATACAAATTTTTTTTTTTATTTTTGGCCAAAAACCAAGTCTTAATACATTTAAAAAGACTAAGATCATAAATGATATGTTCTGTGACCACAATAACAGAAGGCAATTTAGAAAATTCACAAATGTGTGGAAATTAAATAACACTCTCCTAAATAAACAATGGGTAAAAAGAAAAATCATGGGGAAATTAGAGTGTTCTTTGAGATAAAAATCAAAGTGCAACATATCAAAATTTATAGGATGCAGGGCTCATGCGGTGCTTAGAGGAAAATTTATGCTTGTAAAACACCTATATAAAATAAGAAAAATCTCAAATCAGTAATGAAAACTTCTACCTTACGAAAATAGAAAAAGAAGGGCAAATGAAATCAAAAGCAAATGTAAGTAGGAAATAAAATATTACAACAGAAATATATGAAATAGGGAATTATAAAACAGTAGAGGAAATCAGCAAAACCAAAAGTTGATTCTTTAAAAAGATGAAAAATATTTGCAAACCTTTATCTAGACTGACCAAGAAAAAAAGAGA